AGCTAAGCCACTAATCCCCCGAGGCCCTCGCTGCTGCGGACGAGGGCTGCAGACACCCCACCACATCCCTGCTGGCGACAGAAACCCACCGGCAGGTCGGTTAACTGTGGCTGCCCAGATGACAGCTGCACATCACCCAGGATCTGCAAGACACTAGGAAGACCCGACCCACAGCAGCAGGGGAGGCCAGATGTCGAAAACTCACCCCTCGCCCTTGAGAAGCTGCCAAGAAACTGCTCCCCCGGAACGGGACATGGGTGCGTGAAACACCCAGGCTGCACTGAACCCATCTGGAGAGCCTTCCAGGGGGCAGGAAAACCCGGCTTCTAGCTCAATCTTGCCACAACTTAGCTATGTGGCCTGTGACAATCGACATAACTCCCCTGAGTGTCAACTGCCTCCCCTGTGAAAAAGGGAGGCTGGATTCCACGCACTCATTTAACAACCAGTTACCAAATGCCAACCATCAGCAGCCCCCTGGCGTCAGGGGGCTTACATTCCAATGAAGAATTTTCTTAGGGCATTTGCACCATCGTAATTTTTCTTATTCTACACAAATAAGTCTATAATAATAGTATCAGCAGACCTTTGCCGGGTGCTACTTGGTGCCAGGCTACCGGCAAAGACTTCTGCATTCCTCTTGAAAACAGCTCCAGGGACTTCCCTGGTGGTCCAGTGGCTAAGACTCTGCACTCCCAATGCAGGGGGCCCAGGGTTCGATCCCTGGTCAGGGAACTAGATCCCACATGCGTGCCGCAACTAAGAAGCCCGCGTGCCGCAACTAAACATGCTGCAACGATGATCCTGCGTGCCGCGATTGAGACCCAGCACAGCCTAAATAAATAAATATTTTTGAAAAAAGAAAACAGCTCCATGTGGGGTGCTCCACGATCCCAGTTTTAAAGGGGAGGAAACTGAGGCTTGGCGGGCCCGAGGTGATTTGCCCAGGGCCACCCAGCTGTGACCAAAGGCAACTGGAGATAGGCTGAACAAATGAGATCCCTCTTGATAAACAGATAAGGCTCTGGCCTCGAAAAATGAAGGAGGAAAATGGTAATCAGGGGAGTGGGGAATGCTTTATTATACATGAGGATAATTAGGGCAGATGGTGAGTTGCGCCCAGACTCACTCTTGCCCCAAGATGCTAGGCTGTCTCTTGGTTTCTCCACACAAGAAAAAGAACCCAAAAGCTTGAGCAAAATTCTTCCAGGTAGCCAACACTTCTGCCCAAAAAAACCGACAAAAGGATATGACATGATTGATCCCAATCATCCCTGTTTCTCCAACGGCTTCAAATTAAGTCATCTTTTTAGAGCAGCATGACCACTTTAATCTTTAAAGATAGAGGGGAGGGAAACTCTTACATATTTTACCAAATGAAGTCATCATCCGGAGAAACAGAAAGATACAGAACAGACCTATCTTCTTCTGATCAAAATGTACTTCACTAATTAACGGCCACTAGTCTCCAAAGAGCTTCCCCTCGACTAGTTAATAATGCCCATTATACTTCACTTGAGATGTGAACATTTCTATCGCAAAGAGGGAGAGATGAACTGCAGGATTCAAAACCCTTCCTTGGGTTGCTGATTAAAATTCTCGTCAAAACAGATTTTTATTTATGTGATACATTAAAGAATATTATGACAGTCCTAATATGAAATCTGTTCTTCGCTGCCGCGGATTTTCTTTTGTATTCAGTTACAGTTTCTTTCCACCAGTCTTGTTTTTAACACCTCCACGGAATATTTCTCTGGCAAGTGTTAGCACGGAGGGACGGCCAGAGAGCAGAGAAATGAATCTTAACTGAGAGACACGTTGACGCATCATTGACAAGCTCTACACCCAGTCCCCGAGGAGAGGCACAGCTCACCTTGCCACTGAGACCCTAACGCAAACGCACACAAGTTTTACTGGAGACAAACGATAAATAAACAAGGCTTGAGTTAACGTTCTACTCTCCTGCCAGCTGGGTTTCGGCCTCCAACACTCCCTTCAGTCTGAAATCCCCCTGGTCGGACTCAAATTCTATCGGAAAATAACCGTTGACAAGGAAGACACTCTCTCCACACCCTGCCCCAGTTCCCAACCACCACACCCCGTCCTCAACCCCAGAACCCTCTGAAAGATGCCCTGAGGGCTCAGATGTTGAGGCACACCAGTGTCACACAATGGTATGACATCACAGGGGTTGGGCGAATCACCCAACCATGGAAGCTCGAGGTCCGGAGGTGCCGGCTGTGGTTCCGTTCCGCACAGCCTGGTGACTGCTCAGAGCGACTCCACCTGCGTACCCCTCGGGGCCCCCGCAGGACACATGCCGGGAGAGGGCCCAGTTCTGGAGCCAGGTTACGCCACTTCTCAACCCAGCTGTGCCTTGGTTTCCTCATCCAGAAAATGGAGACAATACTGGCACCCACCTCACAGGGCAGAGGTGAATACACATCACGTCCCTACCACAGTGCCCGGCACACAAGCTCAATTAACACTGTCATGGTTACTAGACCTCTCACAGGATTAGTGTGAGGGCCTCACAAAAATAACAAGAAAAACATTAGGTAACTGAACCCGAATGGAAAAGAATACATATATATGTACACACACGCACATGTACAACTGAATCACTTTGCTGTACACCAGAAACTAACGCAGCGCTGTGAATCAACTGTACTTCAATAAAAGAAATTAAAAAAACCAAAACAGCGGATCCCACATATGTTTTACCATACGCTAGCTCTTTTTTTAGGCACTTTACCTTTCTTAATTTATTTACTTCTCACCAAAACTCAGTGAGATAGGGAAACTGAGATTTGAGGAAGTTAAAGGATTTGCCCAAATTCACAGTTAACAAGTGGCACAGCTGGGATCCAAACACAGGCTGTTAAGCTTGAAAACAACAACGGTGATTAAACCAACAATAATGGTGCTGGTGAGGATGAGAATGATAATTCTCAAGGCCCTGACCCCGTGCCAGGCTCTTTTACTGTTCACGACCCGCTTCTGAGGGCGTTACTGACATCACTCCCATTTTACAGATAAGCAAACTGAGAGTAGATGATTTCTCGGTGTTGCAGGACCTGGGATTCAGATGGAGATAGTGGATAGGAGAGTTCCTTGTAAAGTAACGTGCGTCATAAAAAGTATTGTTCTGAAATTCCTGGAATTCCATGGAAAGATGTCCTTCCCCAACTGGTTTAATGTCAGCTCACATCCAAAAGTCTGATAATTCACCTAAGCCAACCCAGACTCCAGGGGTGGGGGGCACACTTTGACAAGTTTGAGAAATATTGCCTCGTTTTTAAGTTCAATGCATCCGTGAAAAGCCAAATGCCAGAGTATATTAAAATAAAATATTGTCCTCCTGGTTTTAAAAAAAAATGGGGGGTTGGGGAGGAGCAGCAAGGGAGAGGAGAAAACAGGTCAAACCCACGGTTTGACCAAGTCAGGGATTTTTCCAGTTTCCCTCTAGGGTAATCTGATCCGAGTTCTCGGTGATCAAATGACTAACCTGGAAATTTGAAGATTCACATTTATGGAAGAAACAGCAATTCTTCCAAACTGAGGAAACACTGCTAATCCTGGAAGCCTTCTGAAATGTCAAGGATCACACACAGTTTGGAAAGCAACCTTTAAACACTTAATACGGTCCCAAAGTTTGTGCTCAGTACAGAAATAATCTAACCTCTTTGGTTCATTAATTCTCATTATTTGCTTAAGCTTCAGGGGGAAAAAAATGCCTAAAGAAAATATTTCACTATTTTTGTTTAGAGATTTGTGTTTCCTTCGAAAGAGGGAAGGGGAAGGGAAGGGAAGGGAAGGGAAGACGTGGAAGAAAGAGGGGGGAGAGAGAGAGGGAAGGGAGGGGGGAAGAAAGGGAAAGAGGAAGGGAAGGAGGCAGGGAAGGAGGAAGGAAGGAAGGAGGGAATCACATGGCAGGCTCCAACCTGAAATTCTCAAAATACCATCCACGACAGCTAACTATTTCTTCATTAATGTACAGAACCATTCCTTCCATTGCACGGCTCAAAGGTTCCACTTCTGGGAGACCATGCTTAAAGAAATAAACTGAATTTGCTAAAACCACAGCACTATCCCTTTATGACCTACAGTCAAACGCTTCACCTTTTCCCCTTTCCCTTAAAAGAGTGCCAAGACCACAAGATGCGGGAAAAGTATTTCTTCCGATATTACCCGGGGAAGAGAAAAGTATAATTAAAAAGTGCAAATTTAGTGTGGAAGCCATAGGCCCTTTAAATTTCACCTTAAGCTTTATGCAGCTGTGATACTGTGGCCACACCTGGCAAGCTCAGTGAAAATTATGTTAACTACACACTTGGGAAAAGGTGAAGGCCTATCTCAAGCCTTTCAGCAAGCTTTGTAGTACCACTCCTACAAAGGGACAACGTTTCCAGCACTTCTCCGCCCAGGCACCAGCACCTGCACTGAAGAGTAGCACTGCTGGCTTCAAGTGTGCCCAGATTTACCCAACCTACCTGAAACCAATACATCCAAACACTTCCTGTCAGATTGAGAGCTTCATGGGTCTACAAAGTTGTTTTTCCAAGAAAGGACAAGCTGTTTACTTAAATTCTACTCCCCTCCATAAACTCTAAGTTGTAAGACCTCAGAAGAGCACCCTCCAACAAAGAGTCACGAGTAAGTATCCAACTTTTCCTGATATGATCTCAGCGATGCTTAAAAAATAAATAGAACACTTGCATAAATATTGCAACAGATGGAGCTATGTCCTCCCAGGAAGGATCGGGCTTGCCCCTGCCCCCAGCTGGATGCTCAGAACCCACCTGGGGACAGCTGACTTGCAGACGCACGGTTATTTCACAGAGCGCCTGCCCTGGCCTCTCCACAGCCACGTGCTGATACCCTGAAGAAACGGTGTGCACCAGGTTTCAACGCTTCCTTGCCAGTGCTCTGTTGGAAACTTGAAATCCTTGGCAACCACCTTGGAGTGCTAAAATCCTATTACTGATTCTCCTACTTACCTTGGGTTGCGCTCGACGAGGAAATGCAACTTTGGGGTCAATCTGGGGAAAAAATGCAAAAGCAGGAGTCAGCTGCATGACTTTGAGGGGAGAAAAACAATTCTGACTAATCACCTAGTTATTAATCACTCATTTCTCAGGCTTTTAACCCAGCTTTTAGTAACTTCTCAGGCAACTTAAAAGCTTCCTTAAAGTTTGATCTAAACTGCAACAGTCTCTCCCAAAATGTAACAAACACAGTGAGCCTTTCTGAAACATCCCACCATGAATTTCAATGTGTAATGCTGTAATACACCAGATCTCATGTGTTCTTATTTAGGCAAGGGCTTTGCTTGCATTAGGGCTTCATGCATCTAATTTGCAATGCATGGCTGGGAGAAAAGATGAGAACATCATCACTGAAAAAAAAAAAAATCATAACCTGAAATTTACATGGAAGACCCTTCCAGCAGCACGGAACTGGATGGTAGTTCTTCTCCTCAATGATAACTAAACAACACAGGTGGGGAAGGGGATTCCAAAATTTTTTTAAGTCAACAATGTCCAAAAAACTCCCCATCAACATGCAACACCATGCTCTGCTTGAATTAATTCACTCATCTTGGCAAAAGTAAAATTACCTAAGATAAATCAAAAGGATAGTTCTTTCTGTAGTCATACCTCAAAAGAAAGCAGGTGTCAAAAACTACAGAGCCCGAGTGGGTTCTTAAAAATAATAAATTAAAATAAATGGAAACATCGGAGATAAATGCACCTGGATTTTCAAAATCACAGGGGGTAAAAATCTATGAGCAACCTAAACCCATATTAGAAAAGTATGGGGAGAGGATAAAAAAAAAAAAAAAAAAAATTACTGAAAAAAAGCAGTCAGAATCTAGTGCAACACTTAGGATGCTCCCGCTACCCCAACCCCAGTCTGAATGGAAAAACTACCAGTACACCAGATCAGACATCTGCAGATCTGAATCAGGGACCGGCTTTAAAACTCTGAACAATTCCCACAGAAGCATTTGAGTCTAATAGGCTGATTTGGGGTGGGGGGGAGTTGTTGGACAGAAAATATGGGTAAGGAAAGAATGAAAAAATATTCCCATTGTTAGTTTTCATTAGTTTTCTAAATGTCACAAATCTCTGGGTAAAATTCAACACGGAGCGTGGCATGAATACAGCTACAAGTTATTTATTTATCCGCTTTGGCTTTCATATTAAAATTTTCCCCTTTTAAAATGTAAATCTCAACCTTGTTTTCAGTTCTGCCATGGGGGGCGGGGGCGGGGAGAGTAATGCTTTGGGAAAAAGCACAGAGGAGGGGGGAAAGTCACACCAGAGCTAACTCTGTTCCCAGACTTAACAGCCCCTAGGACCTAACCAGTAAGACATAAAGATTTACCACTTTTATTAAGGTAGTTTAAAGACCTCATAAAAGTCTGCAGCATGTTTTCCACCTTTAAACATCACCTGAGAAATGAGAGATTACTTTGCAAAAACTAAAACAGACAAAAATCTCTGATCTAGTAAACTACCCTTTCATGGAGATTAACATTACCACAGCTACAGGTATATTCAGCACAGACTAGGAGCTGTCGACAGGAGAAATACAACAGGTGTGGATTTTCCATTCTGTTGACCAAACGTAAGACAGGTATGTCTTTTCATAAACACTCTCCCAAAGTTTTTTTTTCTTTTTTAGCTGATCAGCACTAATAAGTCACCTTGTTTGTGGGGTAAAAGGTGAGGAACGTGTCAGAGGTGAGGGAGCCAGAGGAGAGCAGGGAGAAGTAAAGAAAGCAGACCGCTAAAAAATTATGTATATCTAAAGTTACAAAACTCGAAGCCAATTCAGAACTCCTGTATAGGGTATTGCGGTAACAGCGTGTTATACCACAATGAGAGATCTTCTGTGGGCCAAGTGTACACGCTGAGATCTTAAAAGGAGAGGACGGGTCGAGAGAAGTAAGGCAAATCCCAACCTTTTTGTACATCCCTGTCAACTGTTTTTTAAAAACGAACGAAAAAAAAAACTACCAAAAATGAAAACATTAGTTAGTTAAGTACAACTCTACTTACTGTAGCTACAAATCCTCTAGGAAAAGACTAGGGTACTATTTTGGATGTGAATGGCCGTTACCTAAACAAAGCTTTTAAGGTAACAGTAAACAAGATCCTCGTTTCCATGTCAATAAACCAACCGCTTCTGCCTCCGGCACTGAACGTTGAAACAAAGTCAAAAGCTAGGTTATACTAAATAATAGTGACCAAAACATGTCTACAAACAATTAGTGAGGGAAAACGGCAGGCGCTGTATCTGATACTGAGGGAGATGACCCACCAGACACCACAGAAATCAAATACTATTAATACTTCTCCCACCCGGGATGGACAGAGGGGTGAATAATAAATTCCCGAATTTGCCTTGAAATATCTTTCCTCTTTAATTTTACTAGCTTTTTGAACTGTCTAGCCAAGAAGTCAAAGACATAAAAATTCTTCAGACATCCGTTATCACCCTGCAAACGACTGTCCCTGAAATCAAATGATCTGAAAGTGCAAAAAGGCTGGGCCACAAGCTAGGACAAGTTCAGTGCAATTAATAAAGCAACTTAAAGTGTGGGCCTCTTTTTTTGGGGGGGGGGTAGGAGGCATGCACCTGACCTCTGATCAGAGAAAAAGGGTAAATTTGCAAAATCAATTCAAGGGTACCAAAGGTGGCCAGGTTCTCGTCTTCTCTGCCATTCAGTGTTAAAGCCAAAAGGGACATGAGAAGATCACTTGTTCCACTCCTTTATTTTACAGAAGAGGAAACTGAGGCCTAGAGGCAGGGAACAACTTGCCCAAGCTCTGCACTGGCAGCTGGAACTAGAGAGAGATTCCCCACCCCACCCCACCCCTACCCCGGCCCCCATCCCACTCACCCACCACAGAGAGGTGAAGTCCCCAGCAGCCCAGCACTGTATCCCAAAGTCACCTCCGGGCCCCTGCCTTAAGGCGGATGAATAAAAACCGTGGGGAAATTCTAGTAGACAAGGAAGGCAGGAGAGCCACAATAAAATGCTATGAACTCCCCTTCTTCTCCCCCATTAAATGTATTATTATACACTGATACTTTCTTCCCTTCCTCTTCTGACCTTAGAGACTTTTATCCCCTCAACAATGGACTTTAAAACCTTCTAATGCTGTAAAAGTACCCACACTCAAAGGATCTGAAAAAGAAAAGAAAAAACAAACAAACAAAAAAAACCACTTTGAAACCCAAGACCTTATCAGCCTTAGATTTCACACCATCTGGAGTCACCCACTGGATGCCCAGCTTGGATCTGGGAGGTATCCTTTCCTTCTCAAACCACATTCCAAATCCGAAGTGCCCAAGAGGAACCTGTTGCCTGGACTGTGATTAGTGCCCCCTCACCTCCTCCTGTCCCCAGTCCCCCTCGGCCCCCAGTCCCTCTCGGCCCCCTGTGCCCCTCGGCCATGAAGCAAGCTGTGCCTTCTAAGAGCCGATTCCCAAAGCCACAGTTGGTAACGCGGGCTGGGCTCGGCTGACAAAGAAAAGTTGCCTCTGATCGGTGGTGGAGTTTCTTCGCAGGGTCCTTTGGCCCGGAAGATAGCCTCTCCCCAAGCCGACCCCTCCCCCAAGCCTAGGCCTGGCAGCATCTGGGGCTGCAGTGGGACAGGCTCTAAAAAGAAAACCCCAAATCCAGCCTTTGCGGCAAACTTTAGGACCGACTTGCAACCTCTGCTTCAAAGTACCCAGTTCTCAGCACAGAAGCAAAAGAAGACACTGTCTCTTTAAATTGGGCTGTCAATGCCCAGATCGGTCCTGAAAAGGGGCAAACAACAACAACAAGGAAAAGCAACCTACCGTCTTGGAATCTAACTCGTGGTGGGGCTGACCTAATACTTTATCTACACTTGCTGGGTCTGCGAACGTGACGAAACCGAAGCCTCTGAAATGAGACAAAGAGGGAGAAAAACAAACAAGAAAATGTGACACCATCGAGAGCAACAAGGAGCGAGCCCTAATGCAGAACGGAGAGCAAAGTTGCCCCCGCTCACCCCCACTCCCCACCCTCCCCACCCCCTCCTGCCTACAGCCCTCGGCCTCGCAAGGAAACACATCAAGGTTAATGGGGGAAGTGGAACGGGGGCAGGGCGGGTGGAGGTAACTTGGAGAACGCTGGTGTCTCCACTCTTTCGCCACCTCAGTTTCTCTCCTCCTCCTCCCCTTCCCTTTCTTTAACGCTTTGTTTTATTCCGAAGAAACCCAGGCACTTAGAGGAGATCCAACCAGCTTTCTAAAGGGGCTTAAGAGTTCGGGGAGTTGGGAGTGCGGGGGAAGCACACATTAAAAAAAAACAAAAAAAACAAAAAAAAAACAACTATGTGGAAAGTGAATGAAGCTGAATGTCATTTGAAACAGGAGAAAAAGAAGCGACGGGGAAATGACTTAAAGCGGAGATGTGGGCATCTGTGTATCCAGAATTCAGCCCCAATTAACAATAACCTTTGGGGTTAATGGAGGAGGGGGGAGGATGGAGCGACGTTCGAAACCAGCCACATGCCTGAGCCCCATTCTAAATCCGCTTAGCTACTTCCGAAGACACCTCCAAAAATAACACTTAAACTTTGTTCTAAAATAAAGACAAAATCCAGAAGGGAATGCTTTACCTGGAGCGTTTCGTAGTGGGATCTCTCATGACCATACATTCTCTAATTTCTCCAAATTTGCTAAAATAGTCTCTAAGGCTATCTGTAGAGAGAGAAAGAGAGAGATTGGGGGGGGGGAGAAGGTGTGGAAAAAAAAAAGCAATGCAAATTTTGATCAAGGACAAAAACCAAAAGTAGTTTTCTGTTGTTATTCTGGGTTTTTTTTTTTTTTGCACACGCGGGGGAAATTCGGCAACAGAGGTCGCGTAGAGGGCTCGGAAAGGATTTGCTATTTAAAAAAATAACCTTGTACAGGCGACGTGGGGGGGGAAGGGAGGGGGGGGGGCTCCTACACCGGGATAACAAAGAGCAATAAAGAAGCCAAGAAGGGGGGGACCCAGGCGTCCCCCCCTCCCTCCCTTACCTGGTGAGGTCTGCCAGCTCAGTCCACCGATAAACATTTTACTAGAGGGAGAAAACATAACAGAAGTGAGCACCGATGTCAGATCGGCCATTTTGACGTGTAACTTACAAAAGCTAAAAGGAAAGCGGGGAGGGGGGGAGCGAGCGAGCGAGAGCCCGGAGGTGGGGTGGGGGAGAAGGTGACGGCGAAATGCAATCCAAAGGTGTGTAACTTCCACGGGGGGGGGGGGGGGGGGGGGGGGGGGGGGCGCGGGAGATGCCCGGCTCCGCGCACCGCCGTCCCCGCCGCTGCAAGGAGAGCGAGCCCGAGGCGGCGCGGTGGGCAGCGGCTGGAAACTTACCCGGGGTCGTGCTGGGAGTCGTTGGCGCTGCCCGAGGTGCCTTGGCTCCCATTTGCCTCCATATCTGAGCCCCCCCGCCCCCCCACCCCCAAAAAACCGAGCCCCACAGCGATCGGAGCGGAGCGGCGGCCGGCTCCGAGCCCCGAGATCTCCCGCTCCCTCCTCCCCCTCCTCCTCCCCCCCGCCCGGGCTCCTCCGAATCTCTCTAAGAGCGGCGGAGCCGGGGCAGCGGCGAGAGCCGTCACACGTGGGCTCGGCTTAGCTCAGCCCCGCTGCTCGCACACCCCCCGTCCCCGCCCCCCCGGCCCATCCCCACCTCTCCCCCTCCTCCTCCCCACCCCCATCCCCTCCTCCTCCTCCCCCTCCTCCGCGGCGCACGTGGGGCGGAGTTCTAGAACGTCGTGTAACCAATGCCGGTGACGTCACGCACCCCGGTGCGGCCCCCGCCTGCCCGCGCGCGCACACTCTGCCCCCCGCTGCCCGACCCACTGGGGCGGTGCGCGAACCCCGCGGCCCGAGCAGCCCCGCCTCCGGGCGGGCCGAGCCAAGGGGAGCGCACCCCGACTTCCCTGGATCACATGGGCTGCGGGGGGCGGGTGGATCGGGGGAGGGGGAGGCGCGGGGAGCTCGCCGCGGCTCCACACTGGGGCAGGGGAGAAGATGCCCCCCACCCCTCTAGTTCGGCCTCTCCATTCAAGTTCCCCGGACCCGGCCGCCAGGATCCGGGATGGCAACAGCCGCCTGCCCGGCTCTGCGCCCTTTTTCCAGCCACCGCGCAGAAATTTAGGTCAAGGACGTCGGGATCAAATCCAAACCCTGGCGCTCCTCGGGCAGCCGCCGAGACCCCCCAGGATCGCGGGGCTTCAGGATTGCGGAGACTCTCCCGCACAAACACCAGCCACAAGTTTTATTTTCCTTTCGCGCTGGAAGTTCTCTCTGGCTCTCGCTCCGCACCGGCACGTCTTGCGCGGCTCCCCGCCCTTACCCGGCAGAGGTACGAATCCTTGCCCGGGAAAGGTTATTTTGGAACTTTGAGGAAACTGTCGCGATTCCAGTGGTGAGAAAATGCCGAAGAAAGGGTTTCCGCGTTAAACATAAGGCGCTTAAAAAATATAATAACATAGGGTTATAGAGGTCAAGGTCAAATGATCGGAGTTCAAATCAAAATTTTTTATAGAGAGAGAAATAATTTGGGAGCATCTCTGGGAGGGCCGGGAAGGATGGTTATTTCAGGAAACCCCTCTCCAACCCGTTTGTTATATATATGTTATTGTTTCTATGCCGAGGTAGTAAAATGCATGAGATGTGAATAGCCCAAGCCCCCCACCATCTGGGGATGTAGCTGAGGGTGGCAGAAGGCTTCAAACACACCCCCCCCCGCCACCTTGGGAGCAGCGTGGTGTGGCACAGGTCCTGGCACACAGTAGGTGCTTAATAAATGCTGACTTTTATCCTTTCCCGCGCTGAAAATTCCTAAAAGACAATTTTGTAGCTACCCAAAAACATCGCCCACTTCTCCAGCAGATTTCAGGCCGGCTAAATTCAGGCTGGATTCAATCTGTGGGGTATTTAAAACAATAAGGATATAATTATCCTTATTGTTTTTAATTATTACAATAAATTGAGTTAATATGGCTTAAGGGGGCAACATCATTGAGTATTTGTGGTTCATCAAATACTCAAATTAATGTTAAGCATGAATTGATGCCCAGTTAACACTTTTCCACTAATTTCCGTAGGATTAGGGTACAGTGGAATACACTCAACACCAAAACTGTACCAAATCCACCGTGGGTCTTTGAAAAATGGACTATTTGGAAAATACCAACATCAACCAAACCCGTGAGTGACCAGGCTCTTAATCTCCCTGTCTCCTAAATTGGGATAGTTCTTCCTTGACAGCATTGATAGGGTGAGGGGAGGGTCTGAAATCAACACTTGTAAAAGTCCCTTTTTCATTGAAAGCCTATATGGGTTGTGCTTGCTATCATATGATTTTTAGAAGGCACTTTAAAACTTTAAACCAGAAGCCCAAGCATTTTCCAATTCACTCCAAGCTGCTTCCCAAATCATCTGGGGTCCCATGTGTTGAAGAGCCGGTTGTTATTATGGTAATTGTTTATTATGACTATTCTCAATAACAAAATGCAGACAACAGAGCTAATGGGATTTTGTGGGGGATTTTTACACTAGAACCACAGATCATCAGAGGTGGAAAGGCCTTTCCTGATCCACCCCCCTCATTTTACGTCAGGGGCCCAGAGGAACCAAATTTACCAGGCTACACCCTACCCACCACCTGTCCGTTCCTTAGAGGAGCTCTGGCCATCAGTCCCATGCCCTTTGGCTCTGCTGCATGCATATTTATTCTGCCCTTAACAAGGTGAGAGTGGGGTGCCCTTGTTCCCTGTTGTAGACCTACACAAGCTGAACTGAATTAAATTGCAGGAGCTAGCCCTGCAGTTATAAAGAGGAAGTTAGATCTTAAATCACCAATTCTGCATTGTTTTTATTTATTTTTAACTTATATGCAGTAACATTTACTCTCCTTGGTCTATAAGTCTGAGTTTTGACAAATGCATAGAGTCTAGTAACCATCACCATAAAGAGGTTACAGGAAGCGTCTCATTGTCCAAAATATTCACTCTTGCTGCTCTTAGTTTATTATCATTATGCATTTCTCCTCCAGCTCACTCACTTAATGTAGCCCCTGGGTCAGGAGAATTCCAGGAGCACATCAGTCCTCCACCCTCTTAAAGTTTCAACAGCCCATTACACTGTTGGACACTGCATTCTTTGTAACTCACTCTTCCCTTGGCATCCTTGATGCCCACATTCTCCTGCCTTTCCTCGAACGTCTCCTGCCTTTCCTCCTCTCTTTGCCCTGACTCCTCCACCTCTGCCTTTCCTTTAAATAGTGGTGTTCATTCTCTCCCCTAACTACACACCCTCTCTGGATGAGATCCCCTGAAGGATGGGTTAATTACCATCTACGTTCTGATGCCACTCAAATTAAAATCTCCAGCCTGCTCTCCCCCCAGAACTCCAGGCTCTGCTTAATTTCCTATTCATCATTTCCACTTAGCCTTCCTTAAGTTACCCCAAACTCCACATTTCCAAAACCACATGCATGCTCGTTTCCCCTAAACCTGAACCTCTTTTAAAGTTTTCTCCATGAACAGAGCCCCAGCCATCTTAGAGACAAGGCTGACCCCTCTCCAGGTTGACACCTTCCCACGTGCAATCCATCATGAAGCTCTGTTGGTTTTACTTCCTCAATGTCTCTCAAATTCACCTTTCCTGCTACTGCATCTCAGATCTCCCACTGGAGCCCGTGCAGTAACCTCCTAAACGTTCTTCCCACACTCATTCTTACTCCACTAATATGCCTGGAAAGCATTCCCTGACCTCTCTGACCAGGTTGAATCCCCCTCGGTATGCACTGTTATCCTGCCAGAATGCCCTCTGTGTACCCTACCCTGTGTGATCATTTGCTTTATTGCTTATCTCTTCCACTAAGCCATAAGCTCCTGTCCATTTCTGCTCTCCACGTATTAGCACAGTGCCTATTGGTGCATGGTTAACACTAAGCAAATATTTGTTGAACGAATGAAAGGATGAATGAATGAATGAAGGTCAACATCTAACTTCACTGTAGGCATTTTTGTATCCATGTCCATAAGTCAAATAGGCTGCAGTTTTCCCTTCTCATACTGCCCTTCTCTGGTTATACTGGCCTCAAAAAATGAACTGGTTCCTTCTTTTTCCATTTTCTCGAACAGGGTGTATAAAATTGGAATTATGTGTTCCTTGACTGTTTGGTAGAACTTGCCAGTAAAATGTCTGGCTCTGGGATAAACATTTCCTAGGTTGATTTTTAACTACTGATTCCATTTCTTTGATGGCTATGGATGTCTTTAGGTTTTATATTCTTCCTGACTCAATTTTTGCCCATTATATTTTTCAGGGAAATTGTCCATACCAGCTAGGTTTTCAAATTTATTGACAAAATGCTGTTCATAGTTTTCTCTTAATATATTCTAATCTCTGCTGCATCTATCCATACCCTTCATTTCTTTTCATTCCAAATATTATTGTATATGTATCTTCTCTTTTCTGGATCAGTTGTGTCAGAGACCTCCCTATTTTTATCTAGTGTTTCTTTCTACTTTCTACTAGTGTTTTCAAAGAATCAACTTTCAATTTGGTTAATACTATTTTTTGTTTCATTAATTTTCACTTTTATATACTATTATATATTTTATGTTCTTATGTATAAGAATATATACCATATATAAAATATAACCTAATCAGTGGTCCCCAACCTTTTTCTTTCCACGGTAGGGGGTGGGGGGAGGGATACGGTTCAGGGGCTAATGCAGTAATGGGAGCCGCAGTTGAAGCTTTGCTAGCTCACCCGCCGCTCACCTCCTGCTGTGCAGCCGGGTTCCTAACAGGCTTTGGACCACTAGCAGTCCGAGGCCCAGGGGCTGGGGACTCCTGATCTAATTGTGTATTGTTAATATATCATGTTATTTTCTTTGTTCTGTTCTCTGGATTTATTTTGTTGGCTTAAAAAGATTCTTGATGGCTTAAGTAATTAATTTTCACGCTTCGGTTTTCTTTTTTTTTTTAACATTTAAGGCTACAGATTTCACTCCAAGTGCCACTGAAACTACATTCCACAAAATATGTAGAATTTTTATTACCATCCCAGGCAAAGAATGTTTAGATTTCCAGTATGATTTCTTCTTTGCCTCAATACATGTGTATTTTTACATTTCTAAACACAAGTTTTTGTTTTGGTTTCTAGTTATTTATGTCTAACTTAATTAAGGTCAGAGAGGTGGTCTGCATGAAGCACGTTCTTTATTATTTGTTGAGATTTTGCTTTGGTAAATAGTTTTTATAAATACTCCATGTGGTTTTGAAAAGAATGTGTATATCTTATTTGTTGTATAGCATTCTGTATGAGTCTGTTAAATCAAGCTTGTTAATTATATCATCCAGATTTTCTTTAGCCTTACTAATATCTATCACTTTGTATAGTGGTACATTAAAATCTCCTTATATGACTGAATTTGCCAGTATCTACTGTAAATCTCTCAAACTTTGCTCTCTATATTTTAAAAGCATGTGATAAGGTACATCAAAAAGGGCTATGAAAATCTCATACTATGACTGCATTTTTTTATTTTTTAACATGTTATTTCTCATTTTGCTTTATTTATTTTGAAGCTGTGTAATTAGGCGCATCAAGCTTAGATTTACTGTTTTCCTAGTGAACCATTTCTTTAATATATGCACAGGTGATCTTTAACCCTAGTGCTTTTTGCTTTAAAGTCTACTTTGCCTGCTATAAATATAACTACTCTCACTTCTAGCTGGCATTTCGTCTGGCATATCTTTTTCCATCCTTTTACTTTCAACCTTTCTATGTCTTTGATTTTTAGGTAAGTCTCTTATAAACAGCATGTACCTGGATCTTATTTATTTATTTATTGGGTTGACTAGTAAGTTTAGTCCATTTACATTTAATGTAATTGCCGATATTTTTAATGAAACTTAGGGGCACAAAACTATATTAATCACAATCTCTGGCATAAACATACTATCATCATTAGGTATATCCATGGCCTTATTTTATTTTATTTTTGGATATTATGAACACTTGTAAACCTACTATCCAACTAGAGAACTAAAACAGTAACAGTGACTTGCAACTACTTATGTGCTCCTCCTCTACTGTCCCCCCACCTGAAGAAACCACCAGTCTCAATCTTGTATTCATTCTTCTTCTTTGCTTTTTAAAAAGTTTTATCAAATTTTTATCATATACTCGGTTTAAAATTTTACAAAAATTTTCTGAGGAGGCCTATATTTCTTACTCAACATGGTATTACTAAGATTCAACTAGACTGTTGCTTCTGGCTGTAGTTCATTATTTTCCATAGTTGTATAAAATTCCATTTCATGACTGTCCCACAAATTAGTTTGTCCATTCTCCTGTCACAGGCCTTTGAGTTGTTCCAATTTTTTGCTGTTACAAGCAGCGGTGATAAGTAGTCTTATCTTCCAGTGTATACGGGCAGAATTTTCTCTTTGGAGTGATTACTGCGTCACGAGATATGTAAGTGTAAAACTTTACAGAATAATGCTAAACTGTTTTCCAAAGTTGCTCTTCCAATTTGTACTCCCACTAGCAATGTATAAGCAGGCTGTTGATCTACTGATTTCTGACATTTGGAACTGATGTCTCATTTTCTTCTGTTTTCTCTAAGTTTTTTGTTTACTTCCTTCCTTTTCTTCTATTGAACTGATCAAGAATTCTTTATTCCCTTTTCCTCTTTAACTAGTTTAGGAGTTGTAAGGTATATTTCTATTCCTTTAGTGATTACTTTACAATTTTTAACATGTACACTTAATCCAGCCTCCCTGAAACTCTACAGTAAACAGAGAATTATTCAACTTCAATTACATCCTCCCTTTTACATGTTATTATTGCTTCTTACTTTAGAGTCACCTGTTTTTATACCCCTAAATTTAATCACTACTGTCATTTTAGTTTTATACAGTCATTGTTTCGATTTGCCCATGTTTACCAATTTGTTCACCTTTGTTTCTAGCATGTTTTTCTCCCTTTCTTCTAGGTACCAGCCCTTTCCCTTGAAACATATCCTTTAGTAGTTTTTTTTTTAGGGAGGTCATATGAGTGACATGCTTTCTCTATTAGTATAAAATTGTCTCGTTTCGTTCTTATCCTTGAATGATGATTTCTCTGGGTGTAAAATTCTAGATTGAAAGTTATTTTATCCTCAGCACTTCTATGAATATGTCACGTCTTCTTGTTTTCTATTTATTGTTGAGACATTTGCTGTCAGTCTAAATATCATTCCTTTGTAGGTAATCTGTTCTTTCTGGTTTTAAGATTTTTCTCTCTTGTCTTTGACTTCCTGCATTCTTACCATGTGGTGTTCAGGTATGCATTTCTTTTATTTACATGGTTCAAGATTCATTGCATACCCAAAATCTCAGGATGCAGGTTTTTGATCAAACTTGGAAAACTGTCAGCAGCTGTCTATGTAAATCCTGTCTCCCTTACACCCTCTCTATTCTCACCTTCTGGTGCTCATATTAGGTGTACAACGCACCTTCTCTTTCTATGCAACATAGCCTGAGCTTTTCTCTCAGACTTCCCATCACTTTGACTCTCTGTGCTGCTTCCTGGGCATTTTCTTCAGATCCATTTGCTATTTTTTCTTCAGCTGTGTCTAATCTGCTGTGTAACTCCTCCACTGAGCTTTTCATTTCAATGACTATATGTGTCAGTTCTAGAAATTCTGTTTAGTTGTCTTTCAAATCTACCTTTTTTTACAGTGTTATGTTATTTTCTTATGGTTCCAAATGTTCTTTTATGTTTTTAATAATTTTTTAACTTACTTATTTTATAGTCTGTCTGATAGTTCTGTTATCTGAGGTTCTTGGGACTTTTGTACCTACTACATCTTGGTTATGGTGGATTGTATCCATGTATGTTTAGTAGTTTGGTGTTGGGTCAGTATTTTTATCTTTTTTTTTTTTTCCACTTTAGGGTTCCTGGACCATAGAGGAAGGGTAAATTTCAGTCCCAGATTTACATGAGACTGGGCTGTAGTCCCAAATTCTCAGTGAAGACTTTTTTCTCCACTTTCAACTTATGCCAAGACAAATTTTCTTGTCTCCCTGTGCCACTAGGGAGATTTTTTTCCACTGAATTATTTCTATGATGATTCATCCCTTTCAAGGTCTCACATTTATTCGGGGATGTCAGTTCCATCTCCCCACTTTACTGGACTCAAACCACAGTCTTCTTTCCATTTTGATGCTCAAACTTCAGCCTTTCAAGGCCAACAAACCTGCCTGAGACCAGCTCCGCATCCTCCTCCTTGCTCACCATGCTAATTGTCATCTTTCTCTTGCTTCTGGCACTGGAGGCCTTTCCTTGTTGTCCCATGAGCTCATTTCAATGGGTGTTTATTGCATCTTGACCAATATTTATACATGGTTTATATTTATAAACCAGTATTTATAGTGGGAGGATTTTCAAGTTATTTAGTCTGCCATATTGACAGAAATGGAAACTCACTTCCATTTAATTTTTACCATCTTCCATTTCAAATGCATTTTTTCTTAGAATACTGTGGCATCTAGGATTTCTGAATAATTTTTCTTCTGAATAATCTTTTACGGGTGAGGCAGCATTGGAATTATCTCAAATGAGGCAAACATTGGTCAGTGTGACTATTCATTATAATCACCTGAGAACTTTAAAAAATACTGATGCTTGCTTCCACCCACAAGATTCTGATTTAATTATTCTGGGGGACAGTGTGGGCAGTGATCTTTTTTAAAGCTTCTCAACTGATTCTAATGTGCCACCAAGGTTGAACATGACTATTGGAAAACAGACTGATAAAAACAAACAGACCCTAATGATCCCTAGGCCCCTTCCCAGAATGTCTGATTTATTTTGCCTGAGGGGAGCCCCAGGCATCTAACATTTCCCTGATGATTGTAGCAAGGGTTCAGAACTGATGGGTTACCTGGGTACATCCAGTCAGAAGGGAGGAGTTAAAATAATGTTAGAGCTGGAAGCACGAGCAATAATCTAGTCCAGCGGTTCCTAGTGTCTGCACAGCCATCCGTTGGACTCCTGGGGAGCTTTTTAATTTTACAGATTCCTGGAGGTTGTGACCTGGTAGATTTAATGTAAGGCCAGAGAGTCTTTTATTCCCCAGAGGACTGTGATGGCCAACTAAGTTTGGAAACCACTCAGCTAGCCCGTCTTGTTTTACAAAGGAGGAAACCAGCCCAGAGAGAAGTGTTTTTTTTCTCAAGGTCGCAGAGCTGATTAAGAAGAAAGCTGACTCCTACCTTCCAGTCTTGTGTCCATTTCATCCATTTCCAACATAAAGTCTCCTGCTGCTTTTAGAAGATCTTGGCCAGTTTAAAAAGGCAGATTCTGAATTTGTGTGCAGTGATTTCAGGAATGTGGGGTCTTCTGGTTTGTTTTGTGTGTGGATGGCACAGCAGAGAGGAAATAAAACAGTCTGCTGCCTTGCATGTAGGGTCTTCTAATAGCCAGGTGACCTTGAGCGGATAAGCCACCCTCATCTGTAGACGGGGTCATGATGGTTTTAAAGTATCTCCACACATTCTTTAGTCCTCCTGTAAGAGGTGGAGTTGAATTCCCCTCACCCTGAGTGTGGTCTGTACTTAGTCACTGGCTTCTAATGAATAGAATGTGGGGGAAATGATGGCGGTTGAATTCCGAGGCTGGATCAGAAAAGGCACGCGCCCTCCGCCTGGCTCTCTCTCTCTGATCACTCTAGGGGAAGCCGGCTTTCACGCCGTCAAGATGCACAAGTAGCCTGCTAGAGAGGCCCACGTGGAGAAGAATTGCAGTTTCCTGTCAGCAACCCGAACTAACCTGCCAGGATTGTGAGACATCTCGACGGTGCCTCAGCCAGCCCCAGCCATGCCTTCAGACGACAGCTACCCCAGCTCACATCTCAACAACTTCCCGAGAGACCTGGAGCCAGAAGCTCCCAGCTAAGCCACTCCCAATTCCTGACCCTCAGATACTGAGTGAGACATTAAATACTTGTTTGAAGCTACTACGTTTGGGGCTAATTTGCTGCACAGAATAGATGATTAATACAGAGATACTTCAAAATGCACAAAAACAGAACTGCTTACTTCCTAGGTTTGTGGCAGGATTCCTACACTAACAGTTCTGGAGTGCTTTAGTTAGACTCCAGCCAAATGAACTGCGTATTAGATATAAAGTAGCGATTGCATATTATTAATGTTATCAGATTGCAACATATTTCATGTTCAGTTACCTACAGTGCTCTTTCTGGAGCATCGCTTTGCTCATCTGCTTATCCCCACCGCACATTTATAAAAGGTCGCTGTTAAGATATAAAAGTATACATATGATTTAAATGTCTTGACTCAGTTACTAACAACCGTGAGCACGTTTTCAAATTGGAAAAGCAAGATCCATTTAAACTCTGTGTTCTTCGCAAAAGGCTCTTTGTTTACTTCTTGGTATTGCATTTTACCGGCAGGCCAAGCCCCTCTCTGATTGAAGAGTCCGTTCACTTTATCTGTCTCGGTAGCCTCACAAGCCTTTACTGTTCAGAACAGACACGGCAGACTTTGCACCAAAAAAGCAAACCGTATTTTTAACCAGAAAGTCTTTAATAAAATGAATTTTTATTCATGAAAATTCCACCAAGCATAAATTCCCTGTCTAAAAGTAATGGGCCCTTTGTATTTCCCTTAAATAAATAAATAGCTTCTTTCCTCAAGAACTGACTTCTGAGCATGCTCTTAAATTCAGGGCTAGTTTGTTTTCTTCCAGGAAATAAAAAATAAGCATGTGTGTACAGATCCTAAGTCAGCCCTTCTAGAAATGTATAATATGGGAAAGCCAAGATGGTTTCTTTCTAACAGTCATAACTAGAGGTATACAGTACCTGGAAAAGACATGAAAAAAGGCAGAGGGTGTGAGGCTGAGAGAAAGTGAAATTATATTTTTCAAACACTCTTTACTGATCTAACACACAAATATCTGTAATTTATTTACTCCTATAACCTTGTTTGATATATTTAGAGACATGAAGTTTTCCTTTATTTAAATGATGGAGAAAATACATTTTGTTTCATTATTTCTTTTCCAAACTGGGGATGGAAATGCAAAAAGGTCCCTAATGGAGTGGGGGGGAGTGTTTAGCCAAAAAGTTTCCTTTTTTCCTTTCCATTTCCACATTGGACACAGCTAGACACCTAGTGTGTGGTTGTATTTTGTTCCCTCTGCCTTCTTCTGTCCTCATCTCCAACTCAGAATTACCACGCCAACCAAGGCAAACGCTCCCTACATGCCTAGCTGAATAAGAACACTTATAATGAATCAATCACACTCATAATGAATCAATATCATTAATTGAGTGACCATAGCAGAGGATCATTCTAGCTATCGTGGGGACAGGGACTGAAAATCTTCATTCTTCAGAAGTTGCAGGAAGTGGACGGTAGCTTGCGATTGGCTGTGAGGCTGGCTCCAGTCCCTCTGGGTGACAGCATCCTGCAGGCAGCACCTTCTGCCAGCCTGGTGAGCCCCCTCCCCAGCCACAGCTCTCTTATTTGAATGTGGGTACGGTTGGCGCAAGAGAGAAGCCTCGGGAATTAAACAGAAAGTCACCATTCTCATTAAAAAATATCCAGGGCTGGGACTTCCCAGGTGGCGCAGTGGTTAAGATTCCACGCTCCCAACGCAGGGGGCCCGGGTTCAATCCCTGGTCAGGGAACTAGATCCCACATGCATGCCACAACTAAGAGTTCGCATGCCACAACTAAGGAGCCTGCCTGCCACAACTAAGACCCTGCGCAGCCAAATAAATAAATAAAATTAAATTATAAAAAAATCCAGGCCTGCTCTCCCACGTACCTTAAAGCTTTTGAACTGCTGTTCGTCATTCTGTCATCATTATTCTTATACACGTGGGTAAATATTTTACTAAACGGCTTCACTGCTTGGCAGTGACAGAGCCCTTTGCCTCCTAGCTCTGGCCGGCACCCAGCACTGCCTGGGAGGGTAGGAGGGCAGTGGGCTCCTTGAACACTCAGTGGTGTTAATGAAGTAGCAGCCCTCTCCACCTGGAAACCATTTTCTCCTCCAGTTTCTTGGGCTTAATCTTCATTTCTTCTTTTTTAAATCAGTTACCAACTTAGTCTTAATGAAGGGTGCGGGGGCATCCCCCAAAGAAAACAGCTATGTCTTTTAACTCCACCTGGAAATGGGTGACACGGTGCCACCGTCACCTTCCGTTCCACCTGTGTCTCCGCTTGGAAACTTGCTCTAGCCCCTCCACGAGCTGCCTTGCCAAACAGAAATTCTAAATGTCATAGGTGGGACTATGCAGGGCCCCTCCAGCCAGGCTGGCTCACATGCTCTACAGGTTACGTCAGAGAACGCCAGGCATTCTCATCGTCGTTTCCACCACCAAGCCTCATGGCCCCATCAGCTTTCCAATTTGCCAGCCACACATCCATAGCCCAGGCCCACAAACCCACCCATTAATTTGGACCAGCATTGGGTCCACTTCTTCAAAATTCTTAGCTTTTTACCATTACACAGTATTGGAAGTGGCCAAAGCACCAATAAGTAGCATGGCTGTAGTGTCATCCCATCCCATCCTTGAGTCTTCAGGAGGCCACCGGGACAAGATCTATTTCTGTGGCAGAAATTCCAAGTTTGGAGGACCGTGGGTATGACGCCCTCTTCTGGTAGATGCAAGGAACGCCTGCTTGCACCCCTGCGTTCCGGTTCCCTCTACTGGCTGAGGAAAAAGCAGCTGTCTCTCCCTTCTGGGCCCAGATTCCAAAGTTCAAGGCCCTGCACTCAAATTCTGAGACCCAAGTCCCACAAATCTAGACGTTTCCTGAAGTGGAAACCAAGACTCACCACGATAGCCCACACTGCGATTTCTACAATTACCAATCGGCTAATTCCAAGTGGCTGAAAAACTAATGGAGGGACAGGGGGGAAGCATTGTCATCTCTGAAGGGGGCATTCAAGCAGGCTGAAATCAGAGCTATGTAACCAAACACAATACTGACACACATACAGAGACAGAGGGAAGAAAAAAGATAAGATAAAAGATTAGACGTGAGGACAGTAGAGGACAGACCGCAGAGCTGAGTTAGACACTCACGCTAAAAAGAATACTGCTCGGCGAGGGCAGAAGAAATAAAAGCATGGCTGTGCCCACGGGTGGGAGGAACAAGAGGCTCTGCGTATAAACACCCAGCGTCAGAACAAGATGAAGAAGGGACTGTAATCTCAGAGGAGAAGGGATGAGCCTAAGCATTATCTGAAGGGAGTCTGAAAATGAATTTCGTCACCATCCTCTTGCTTTTGCGGATTCCGGAGATTCCCTCGACAGTGGCTGGACACGCCTCTGTGTTCTGAACTGGCCCCCAAGACCCCGGCACCTACTCAGCAGATCCCACACGAGAAAGAAAGGCAACACCTGGTTTTGTATCTTCTAGTTTGGGTCGTAGATAATCCTGAGCATTCGAAAATTCAGTTGCCCAAGTGGCTGTTGGGGAGGCCTGCCTTGACAGAAGACGTTCATAAAGAAGACCCGGGGGGCTAGCTGATCGCAAGCTTGATGCAAACCTACAGCGCAAGGAGGCTGTTGAGAACCCTAATGCAATCTTCGGCTCTATTAATAGAACAGCAGAGTGTGAGAGGGAAGCAGTAATCCCAGCGCGTGCTGCCGGGTCAGGCCACACGCAGTTTTATGCTCAGTCCTGCAGGCTGTCTTTTAAAAGAGACACTGGCAAATTCAAGCCTGTTCAGAAGGGCATGAAAAAGATCGGACACCGGTATCTAGACAGCATCGAGATTAGCTCGACAGTCCTTTTACGATTGGCAATATCAGAATGATGATTGTGCCGAAGACACAGAATCTCAGTAGCTAACACCAGGAATCATGTTTTCAATGTTTACTTAAATTCCCTGATATTTGGGGGGGTGCCCTCTCAATATAGTGGGGATAAGACTCCACCCAGTCTACCTGCAAGTGTAGTTTGAAGGATAGAGTCTGCCCAGTTGGGCTGGTGTGTCCTGAGCATCTACCTACTACCAGCTCTGTGCCAGGCCCCGGGGCATCGAGAGGAGCTTGAAGTCTAGTTGACAGAGAGGCCCATAAACAGGTACTTTGCTTAGAATGTGACTGATGGTGAAAGACACATGCATTGATTTGAAATGAGATGCAGTTTATTTCTTATAGGGAAAGAGTGATAAGAGAGAAACACAGAATCTGTGGCGTATGTATTTGCAGTCGCTGGCAGTCAGGGAGGAGAGGCCATTAGTAGAAAAGATTAAAACCAGGCAAGTTCAGAGTCAGGAAAGACAACCAAGGGATCTCAACTGTGTCAGATGCCGTCAAGAAGTCCAGGAGGAGGGGGAGGAAAGCTCCAGACCACTCCCTAGATGTGGAGATGAGGGGTTCACCCTTAGTGGTCAAGAGACACATTCCAGGAAAATGCTGGAGACAGAGACAGACTTCATTTAGGGAGTTTGAGGAAGGTTGCATTTATCGGACACCTATTACATGCCTAGCATGGTGCTATGAGTTATGGAAGTTCGAAAAGCATTTGGAGTTCACTTCAGTGTTGGTTGGTGAGTTACGACTAACACCTATATGTCCTTTAGGGAATAGTGGAAGATTATTGTATGAATTGCTCAACTGGGTGAGACCGACAGATGGGGGTTTAAGTTGTTGGGCGTCAGCCTGTTGGTTGACCTAGGGTGACCTTCCTTACGCTGATGGTGACAGAAGAAAAAAGCTCCAAAGATGGTCAGCCGGATCCTTGCCTTCCTCTTCTCCTTGCCTCTTGGCAAGTTTCCTTTCCTAGAAGTGTTCAGAAACACGATTCTTGTCCTGATATCCCTTGGGTTTGCTTCCTTTTTGTTATTTACCGGTGAAATTAATATTACTCTTTACCCTGTACACATTCTCAATCCAAGGCGTGTTTTTTTCATCAGTGGGTTTGTGTTTGGTTGATTAGTTATTCATGTAAGATGACAAGAGCTGTGATACACAGAAATGATTGTGGTGAGTGCAGGCATACAAGCTCTGTGCTTGGCTTCTTTCCCTCTTTTTTTTTTTTTTTTTTGGTGGGTGTGGGTGGGTAGGCAGGTTAGTAAGGCATTTGGATTACTTGCAGATGGTTGAAATTCTCCTCTTACCAAACTGGTGACTGAAGCAAAGTAGAGGGAATTAAAATAAATGGCGTTTGCTGCACATCCCCTCAGCCTCCTTGAGCAGGACCTCTGCATCTGTCCTGCGCAATCGCTCAAGTCACTTGACTTCTCTAGACTTAAGTTTCTCCATCTGTTTCACATCCAATGTATCTTTTGTATGTTGGCTTCCTTCATAGGTTACATTTTTGCAAAGGGAATCCAAGTTATAGGCTAGCTCTTCCTCTGACTTGCTCCATGGGACTTCCCAGGACATGTTCCCTCACAGTAGCCAGAGAGGTCATTGCAAATCAGATCGCTCCAACGGCTTCTCACTTGTACTCAA